CAGCAAAGGTTAGAAAGTTTGGATCGATACGCATTTGGATGTCTCTCATATCTCCATTTTCCACATTCTATGAGCAAACTCATTTGCTGAGTTCCACGCCTAGAGCCTGGAGTCTACATACAGTAAATTCCAGTCTTCAGATTGGTTACAGCGCCGATTGGAGTGGATATAAAAGGTCGGACACGACGGTCTGATAAATCAGGGTAGGAGGACGGAGATGAATGATTCCCACGGCACTTTCATTTTGCTCAAGTGTCACTTGGCGCACTCACTTTACCCTGGCATGCCATGATACGTCATGTGTGATTACTTGGAGGGACTACTAGTCCGACTCACAACACGGCGCTGTTGGGTGACGGGGGGGAGGCATTTTTCACTTTCGCCACTTCCCATCGACGTGTCGACCCAACTAGACAGCCTCTTCTCGAGTTGACAAGTTTGATGACCTTACTGCAGCTTCACAACAGATCTCAGGTTTTGCCAAGTGAGACTTGTACCGGAACTAGTGAAGCAACGAAAGTTCAAAATGCCCCCCCCCCCTTCCATCGCCGAACCGCGCCTCACTACCCTAACGGAAATTCATGACTGAACGCTAAGAAACGACTTAGATAAGAAGCAAGACACCAATGAAAATGATTAACGGTTCTATAAGCACTGTCGGTCATGAAAGTCAAGCAGTTCGATGATCCGGACGAGTTCCCCAGCCAAAGGACGCACGCATCGCCGATATGATCCGCTGAGATCGCTTGGTCCGCAAAATGGGCACAGTCTCTAGACTTTGTAGAACAGCCTGCCTCGTGCACAGTAAGAATGATCAAAACGATAGATCGGGTGTGTGGCGATTCTATCGTCGATGATAAGTAGGTCGCCGCGCTGGTGGGCGCCGCGTACGAGTCCTGCTGCGTCGTGCTCGTTGAAATTGTTAAAATGATCATCAAGCCATATTGTTTATGTTAATCCTGTACTGCTTGTCCCATTTTCCTATGATGATCAATGATTGTTTTTTCCGCATTCAAAAGTAAAGGGGTGTAAGACTGGTCCCACGTTATTTGCTCAAAATTACTGATCCAATTTTGGGCTTTTCGGAACTTGTGAATACGCGGTCTTCGAGACTCATTTGTATGTCGGTAATGCAACTCCGGAATTGTCGCACCGCGCCGCCGCGCGAGACGCCGCGACGCGATGTGCGCGACGTGACCTGACTTGCCGACGATAGAATCGCCCGGGTCCCAAGTATGAACGCACTCTAACAGTGGAATGAGCCTGGAACAATGGTAAACTATTACCCAGTAAACTAATTGTATTTGGCGTTTTCTGGAATATTTCCCACCCATATTTCTGAGGCACTCGTGCAGCAACCATAGTCCAACATTGTTTTGCGCTCTTTCTCTTCAGCAGCGTCCTTACGTAGCATATGGAATAAATCCCACAGCCACTCTAATTGCCACCTGAGGACATGGCCTGCGATTATCTTATGCGCAGAATCTCTTCCCTGTAGAAGATGTCAAGCTCCGCAAACGCAAAGAGTGTACCACTTTGGCGGTTCGAAATTCTCCGTAAGAACGCCAAAGATCTGCTAGGATTGTCGGGCTCCGCCCCGATGTTCGCGCAATGCTTAAAACCAACACAGATTTTTAGGAGCTTCCGACAATTCGGATATACCGTTTTTTCTTCATTTTGAAGTTACAGTCTAGTTCGTTGACGGGGCTGTGAAGAGGGGATGGGTTTGACGCAGCGGCAGCCGGTTTTTCTCTCCTTTCGACAAGCCACAAGACTGTATCATCGTTCATATCAGCCGTTTTCTAACAAATGCTGTCGCTTGCTACCTGCAGCAACTGGCGGAGCACAGGTTGGCGGCGCGCCAAGCGCAGCCCCACTGACACGCCTCATCATCCACGTCGAACAAGACTGTATTTATTACTTTCACATTCATATTCAAAACCCACTAGCGACAGTGGTAGAAGAGCATGCCTTTGAACAGAGTTTTTCCAAACTTCATGCGATGACGTCTCGTACGCACAGTGCCTCCTTATGTCAACAAAAACAGCCGCATCATCTGCATCAACAGTAACACTAGGTGAATCACATAACAAAACACGGAGAACGCAGTTCCCCGGGTCTTCGATTTCAATATATTGCAGCATGATTCATCTAGCATAACTGCTGACGATATACAGGGGGGGAGGCAAAAAAGACTTTTCTTCCTTGACTTTCGAGGCTATAAGTTACACTTTATTAAATTCTGATCGGACATTTCTACCACCATATTAAAGAGCATATTCAATACTATCATGATAGTACTTAATATGCTTTTTATTATTATAATACATACTGCGGCGTTAAACAGCAGTTATCTAGCAAAAAAAGCTTAGACCTTGTAAAAAGCCTTCAGCCTTGCGGTTCACTGCCGATATCGGCTAACCGGCTCATCACGTTGAACGTGTGAGTGCTGTAAGGCTATGGCACAAATAGCCATTGAGCTGAGTGGTCAAAAGTGGCCTCGGTAGCGTAAGGTTGGTAAGCAGAAGATGCGGGTTCGAATCCCGTCAGTGTCCGACTTTTGCCCATAACTCAGCATTCTAACTATCACGATAACTATCACGATACTCCACAGCCTTCTGGACCACCGCCATCGAGAGATTCTGCCACGCGACCGTGGTTCGGTGCCTGAGTTCAGCGAGATCGTTGATTTCTCCGCCACTGTAGACCACCCTATTGAACTCCGCCCGAACCAGGTAATTGAGGGGTTTAGTTCAGGTGACCTGCTTAGATATTCCACCTTCTTCAGGTACTCAACGCCCTTCCATTCCAAGTAGGCGAGAGTTTTTCCAACGCCCTTCGATTCCATGTGGTGTCACCCAATCCTGTAGCAGTACAAAGTTTCCAAGAAGGTACGGGACGACATGTGGAGAGGATATTCTTCTCGAGTTGCTCGATGTAACCGCCAGCGCTCACCTTCAGTCCGGGGCCCACGAAGAAATATTGGTCTTTCCATTCCAGGTACGTCCGGTCCATACCATCAACCCGCGCCTTGGCGACTGTGGTGAAGATGATGTCCTAGACCGTGGCGACGTTGTCGGAGCTGCTCGATGTTGGAGGTCTTCCAGATCGAGAGTACTGGTCTCCAGGTAGCTATCCATGGGTGACTCCACACTAGAAGTTTCGCAGCTGTTTGGAGGTGACAGTATCTTCCGCCCTGGTACTCGTATCCACGTCCTCTGTCTGGGCTGCGAAAACTTTGCTGATATGTGACTCGGTCGAAGTGACTTTTTTTGCCCCCCCCCCCTGTAAAGCAGGGCTGTTTTTATAGACGTAAAAAGGGCCAGAAACGTCATGCGATAGTTCGAAAGAGTATAGTTTCGATGGATCGACATCATATTTTACGACTCGAGCGATTAGCATATCGCGCGACTCCGACCGGCACGAGCCCACCGCTTATTATTAAAACGCAACTGGCAATTCAATTACGTTCAGGACACAAGTTCTTGCAATCTTTGTAGCGGGCGGCGCGCACTTGGTAAGAACTGCGTGGTTTAAATACGCGCGGCTGAATCGCTCTAGTCGCCAAATGTGAATGCTGCCTAAAAACCAAGAAACTTCATACGAAATGAAACTCACGAACCCTACAGTTTTATTTAAACAGAACGCTTCACGGACACCGTTCTTTACAAAACGACAGAAAGTTCCTTTTGGGAGACGACCAAGACAACCGTAATTTGCCGCTCCGTCGCGCGCGGCAAGAGAAGGCAGTTTTTTCTAATTGTAAGATGTGCATCAGACTCGATTGGAGCACCGGATTTCATTTCGACTATGATCTTCTCGTAGGCATTCATGGTTATTTTTAGTTACGCATCACCTATCGTCGTCATCCCGACCAAGAAACACCTTGCGGGCACGTCGTCGCACGCGACGCCAACCAGTGCGGCGAGTTACGATTGTCTTGTCACATACCCATTTTTTCTTCACACAAAACTAACTATAACACTCGCACCTCAACGCTTGGCTTGGACTGCCCGCTCTGGTCGACGTCAGTATCGCGGTCGCTACGAAGGCTATGCATAGCCAGATCACCGTGATCCTTCTAGAAAGCGCTACTCTAGTACAATAACGACTAACGACACAAGCAAGGGTTAAGCACACTGACACGAACTATCTATGTTGATAAGCTACATTCGTTATCACTGAAGTCATCCGGGGCGTGTAAATGAAGCACGGATTTTTTTGGCGCGGTGTCAATCCATATTTCATCGATCGAGGCTATTTCGCGCGGTCAACGAGTAGAGGGCAAAGTAACTCACGTCGCGCCAAAGCTCACGCCCCATTGATGTCCCCCGACTCAGCTCAGTTATAACGACTGTAAAAACATGTAAAATTTACAAGTTACTACAATTACTATGAATAGGTCTGTGAGTGTAATCATTCGAAACAAAGGGTGAAACGTTATGCAGTTGTTAGACCCACGTAAAGAGATATTAGCAACATGTATACGAGAGTAAGACCTATCTGGAAGCTCTTGGCGAAGGAACAGTTTTGGAATCTGCCATGTGGTCACTTAAATCGCGGCCAGGGCGGCGAAATAGGCGCTTCGAACCGTGTGCGACATTCGTAACAGGACCAAAGTGA